CGGGGGGGGGGGGGGCGTACAGGAGGCAGCTGATGAACGAGTCTCTCATCACTGATGTTTCCATCACACACTCTCTCTCCCTCTCTCCCCCCACTTCTTCTGAAATCAATAAAGATATTTTAAAAAAAGAAAGAAATGCATCAGAATATTATTGTCAAAAAAAGAACATATTTAAAATTTATATATAGCCTGGCCGGGTGTGGATCAGTGGTTGAGCGTCGACCTAGGATCCAGGCGATCGGGGTTCAATTCCCGGTCAGGGCACATGCCCGGGTTGCAGGCTAGGCAGCCGATCAATGACTCATCACTGACGTCTCTCTCTCTCTCCTCTCCTCTCCTCTCTCTGAAATCAATAAATATATATTTTAAAAATATTTATATTTATATACAAATTTATATATATATCTTTTAACACAATTTACAATTCCACAGCAATACTGTTAGAAACCCCAGAAATTTCAGATCTATTTCCTTGGCTAATGCCATAGAACTGGGAAATTTAGTTATGGGCTGGCCTAAGAGGATTCCGTATGCTTTTTTGTTGTGTTTCTCCCTTTTACTCTCATAATAAAATATTATCTATACTGTTTAGTGCAACTTACGCTTTACTCTTTTAAAGTCTCCTCTTTTACTTCTCCAAAGGTTCAATGTTAAAGCATAACAGAGCTAACTGAATTAAAGCTGTTATGCTTTGACATAAAAGTTCATCTAGTCAGAGAAGCAAAAAATAAATAAAAAGGATAAGGGAGTTTATTACCACCAAATCAGCACTGTAACAATATTAAAGGGGCTGCGGTAAGAAGAAGAAGAAATAGAGAGAGGGGAACATAGGCATAAAGAAAAAATGGCAATAAATGAGTACCTATCAATAATAACCTTAAATGTCAATGGATTAAGTGCTCCAATCAAAAGTCAGAGGGGAGATGAATGGGTAAGAACACATGAGTCATATATATGCTGTGTACAAGAGACACACCTCAGGACAAAAGGCTCATACAGGATGAAAGTAACGCAAAAGTTTTGAACAGGATGCAAAAATTTTTCCACGCAAATAGAAATGGAAAAAAGAAACGGGTAGCAACACATATATCTGACAAAACAGACTTCAAAACAAAGGCCATAATAGGAGACAAAGAAGGTCACTACATAATGCTGAAGGGATTGATCCAACCAAGGATATAACCCTGGTAAACATATATGCACCCAATATAGGAGATCCTAACTATATATTTAAAACTCTTGGAGGATTAAGGTTGAGATCAACAGCAATGCAGTCATAGTGGGGGACTTTAACATCCTCCTGATATCACTAGATAGATCTTCCAGACATAAAATCAACAAGGAAACAGTGACCCTAAATGACACACTAGATGAGATGGATTTAATTGACATTTATAGAATATTTCACACCAAAGCTGAAGAATATACATTCTTCTCAAGTGCACATGGGACATTCTCAAAGACAGACCACATGTCAGGACACAAAACAAGTCTCCCTAAGTTCAAGAAGTCTGAAATCCTATCAAACATCTTCTCGGATCACAATGGCATGAAACCAGAAATAGGCTACATTAAAACACCTGGAGATTAAATAGGATGTTATTAAACAACAAATGGGTTACCAATGAGATCAAGCAAGAAAGAAAAAGCTTCCTGGAAACAAATGAAAATGAACACACAACGACCTCAAATAAACGGAATACAATAAAAGCAGTCCAGAAAGGCAAAGTCATAGCATTAGAGGTCTACATCAAGAAACAAGAAAAATCACTAATAAACTATCTAACGCTCCAACTAAAACAACTAGAAAGAGAACAACAAGTAAAGCCCAGAGTGAGCAGGAGGAAGAAAATAATAAAGATCAGAGAAGAAATAAATGACATACAGACTAAAAGCAAAAAAACAAAAACAAAAAACAATAAAAAAGATCAATGAAACCAAGAGCTGGTTCTCCGAAAAGATAAATCAGATTGATGAAACTTTAGCCAGACTCATCAAGAAACAAAGAGAGAGGACTCGAATAAACAAAATCAGAAACAAAAGAGGTGAAATACCAACTGACCCAACAGGAATACAAAGGATTGTGAGAAAACACTATGAATAACTATATGCCAACATATTGAACAACCTGGGAGGAATGAAGAAATTCCTAGAAACATACAATCTTTCATAACTCAATCAGGGAGAATTGAAAACCTGAATAGACAATTAACAACTAATGAAACTGAAGCAGTAACAAAAATATTCCCAGCAAACCAAAGTTCTGGACCACATGGCTTCACAGGCGACTTTTTGCAAACATTCAAAGAAGAACTAAGACCTACACTCCTCAAACTGTTCCAAAAAATTCAAGAGGAAGGAACATTTCCAGGCTCTTTTATGAGCCAGCATTATCCTAATTCCAATACCAAACAGAGACACTACAAAGAAAGAAAATTATAGGCCAATATCCCTGATGAACATAGATGCTACAATTATCAACAAAGTATTAGCAAATTGGATCCAGCCATATATTAGAAAGATCATACATGACCAAGTGGGATTTATTCCAGGGATGCAAGGCTGGTACAATATTCACAAATAAATAAATGTGACATCATATAAACAAAATGAAGGATAAAAATCACCTCATCATATTAATACACACACAAAAGCATTTGACAAAATCCAACACCCATTTTTGATAAAATCTCTCAGAAAAGTGGGAATACAGGGATCATGCTTCAACACAATAAAGGCCATATATGACAAACCTCCAGCCAACATCATACTCAATGGGCAAAAACTAAAATTGTTTCCTTTAACAACAGGAACGTGACAGGGATGCCCACTTTCACCACACTTATTCAACACAGTACTGGAAGTCCTGGACACACAAGTCAGACAAGAAAAAAAATAAGGCATCCAAACTGGAAAGGACGGGGGAGAGATTAATCAAAGAATTTATATGCACAGCTCATGGACACAGACAATAGTGCCATGAAGACAGGGGTGTCGTGGGAGGCAGGTGGAGGGGGGAAAGGGAGAAAATTGGAGGATACCTGCAATACTTTGAACAATGAAAATAAATCAAATAAATAAATAAATAAATAATAAAATGTGCAATTAGAACTACAGAAGGCAATAAGAGGGAAAATTAAAAAGAAAGAATGAATAAGAAAAATGAATAGAAAACGGGGAAAAATTCAACATCCATTTACAAAGAATTCTCAACAAAGTGTATATACAGGGAACATACCACAACAGAAGAGAACGCCCTACATGACAAATCTACAGCTAACATCATACTCAACATGAAAAGCTAAAAGCTCTTCCTGGAAGATTAGGAGAAGGACAGGGGTGCCCACCCTCACCACTTTTATTCAATATAGTTTTGAAAGTCTTAACCAGAGCAGTTAAGCGGGGGAGAAAAAGGCATCCAAATTGGAAAAGAAGAAGTCAATTTTCACATATGACATGATATTATATAGAGAAAACCCTAAAATCCTAAAACCAAAAAAATGTTAGGAGTAAAAAATGCGTTCAGTAAAGTAGCTGGATATGAAATTAATACATAAAAGTCGCTGCAGGCCTGCACACTAATAAACTCTTAAAAAGAGAAATTTAAAATAATTTCATTTACAATAGTAACAGAAACAACAAAATATTAGGAATAAATGTAACCAAGGAGGTGAAAGATCTCTACTCTGAAAACTGTAAGATATTGATGAGGGAAACTGAAGGTGACACAAATAAATCCCACGTTTGTAGTTTAAAAGAATTAATAGTGTTAAAATGTCCACACCCAAAGCCATCTATAGTGTCAATGCAATCCCTACCAAATTCCAATGGCATTTTTCATAGAAATTGAAAAAATACTGCTAAAATTGGTATAGAACCACAAAAGACCAGAAAGAGCCAAACAATCCTCAGAAAGAACAACAAAGCTGGAGGCATCACACATCCTGTTTTCAAACTATATTACAAAGCTATACTAATCAAAAGGTATCAGATGGCCCTGGCCAGTGTGGCTCAGTTGGTTAAGCATTATCCCATGTACCGCAAAGGTCACTGGTTCAGTTCCCAGTCAGCGCAGATGCCCAGGTTGAGCAACCAATCAATGATTCTCATTTCGATTCCTCTCTGTCTCTCACACCCTTCCCTTCTCTCTAAAATCAATACAAACATTTTTGAAATGTATGGCA